CTCCAAGCTCGCTCCTGTGATGGACTACAATCTCAATACAAACTAGTAAACTAAACATGAGATTGTAGTCCATCACAGGAGCGAGCTTGGAGTAGTGACTACTTTACAACACACAGGGACCATGGGGAACAAAAGTAGCCCTGCTTATGTCCCAAGGTTGTTGACTTGCCTACTAGCAATCTAACTGTTGACTGTGCTTGGGTGGCTCATCCGGCCCTGGCCGGCTCGCTCTCTCCAATGTCATTAAAGTAGTATTAAACTCAAACTTTTTTCAATAATGAATCCAGATCAAACAAATATACATTGCCCAGCAAAGTATTTCTTTACATCTTTGCCCAAGCTTTTACTGTTATGTTTCCAAACAGCAAGCCAACTACCCTAAACCTTACAGAACCTTTTAGCACATATGTAGTGCTACTTCTGTTCCCCAGGGTCCCTGTGTGTGTTGTAAAGTAGTCACCGCTCCAAGCTCACTCCCGGGATAGACTACAATCTCATATTTAGTTTACTCATTTGTATTGAGATTGTAGTCCATCACGGGAGTGAGCTTGGAGCGGTGACTACTTTACAACACACACAGGGACCATGTGGAACAAAAGTAGCCACCCTCCAGAAGGAAGGACAGTGTCAGCACCAATTCAGAGATGATTTGAGGATCTATAGCCGAGTGATACACAAATAAGAAACATTTTTGTTTATAGTTGAGGTACTTGAATGTATTTTTAAGACTTAACTCCTGAGTTTAGTGTCACTTAAACTGCACAAAACAAAGATGGGGAAGAGGGTTCTTTTGCACTTGAGTTTTTTTTAAATGCTTTTATATTCTGCAGAAATATTGTATAATATTTTGAATTAAAAAGAAAAACTTATGTGAACCGTTTGTGTCCTGGTTGTAAATGTTTTTTATAGGATCAAAGGATCTCAATCCATGTGTAACCTTAGTCTCTGGAATCCAAGCTTACACGGGACTATGGACTCCCAATGCAATGCTACTGACTGGCCCGTCTCTTCTTGTTTCCTTTGTCTTCCAGTGCTTAAT